CGCCCGCCGACCCCAGGCGTGCTCCGGGAGCTGCCTCCTGCCTGAGGACAGAGCTCGGACAGAGAATCCCCCGGGACACGGCCGAGTGTAGGCAGGTGCTTCTGGGCAGCTTTCACAGCTCTCGTCCTGTGAAAGTTTCGAATCTTTTGCCGATGTTGGCAAGAGCCCTTTAGAAGCCCCAGTCAATTTGCAGGTTCACCGAGCCCTCATCCTAGGAAAGAGACCGGSTTGCACAACAGATACTTTTCCAGATTAGAAGAATTAATTTATTATACAAAATCGGGTTCAAATTACTTCTTCTTCCCCACCCCCTGCCCCCCATCAGTTTTCGCTGTGAAATAGTTTGATTTCATTGGATTGCAGGAGCATCTAGAGGCCGCTTCTGCACGTACATGCATCAAGTGAAAAGACATTATGTTGCACAATAATTAGTGTTCAGTGGCTGAAGTGGCTGAGCGTTTCTAAGCCCTGCAGTGAGATTTCTTAGGGAAGTTACCTACAGCTATACAAGCCATCAGTGTCTCCAGCAGCACAGAAGCCAAAATGAAGCAYTAAGCCCACCTAAAGCACTTGTATTTCCCAAGGAACCAGAAAGCAGCTAAGACAATTGTCAAGTCCAGTCTTTGCTGGTGAGCCATCAACCCACTGATATATCATCAACCCAGCAATATCTGCTGCACCACGGGTGTGGTTATTAGGAAGGTTTTTGGCATCAGTGTGAGCAGGTCTCTTGCTGTCATTGCTGATGAGGAGCTTCCTCTTTAGGAAGCAGTCAAATGCTTTGTTGTTGTTGTTGTTGCTGCTGTCACCACACAGACCTTGCTTTTGTACTCAGCTTTGTAATTTTCCACTGAGACTAGACTTCGACATGCTGAAAAGTCTTGTTAAGTATTCAGACGGTATTAACTTTGGAAAGTGTGTGATTTCATCTTCTACTTGTTCAAAGCAAGCTGCCAAGTGTTTGCAAGAGGTGGCCAAGAAGCACGTTCTGTTACAAGCCCTAATATATGGTTTAGCGTCCATACACCAATTATGGTGACAGGTCTTAGCAGTTTCTCATCTATGCACAAGCTACATTCAGACGGGACAACTTCTGGCTTGAAACAGTGTGCTCACACTGCATGTGTCCTCCCCTGGTGGTAGAAACGGGATGATTTACATGCTTAGAGAGCAGGTCTTCAGAGCGCAGCACTGATTCTTCCAGTCCTGTGGCAGTATTTCTTTTGTGGCTTCACTATAAACCAGATTTCACTCATCCCTTTGGGACACGAACTGCCTGAACTGTCTACAAAGCCTGTCCTGTCCTCAGTCAGATGTCCAGGTACCACTGTAAGAACCAAGATTAACTGAAAAGCAATCAAAGCTTCAAGCAAAGGGTGATCTAATAAGATTTACATCTCTGTGGTGACACTTACAACCTCAAGCTTGCAGGAGCCTTCTTCAGTAGGACAATGCAGGAACGCAGATGCTCCGTGCTAAGAGCTATTGCATCTGCAAATTGGAAATCACTACTGCTTAGCATCCCTGTGGTTATTCAGAAATCGCYGGTTAGGATGTCCTCTGCAGTAACTCTAGCTACTGACCCTTGCAGGAAAATAGAAAATAGCAGTCATGAGCTCATGGAGAAAGGCTGGTCTTTGCATGGGATGGAATTATATGAAGGTAAAATGATGAAAAGCATTTGAAAGTAGAATATTTCAGAGGCTGCTTTCAGTGAACTGGTGCAGTTAAGGGAGCAACTTTTTCATTTCTTTTGTTTTCTGTTAGCGACTTGAGGCATGCTTGCTTAGCCCTGAAATGTTGACTTATCATTTATTCAAGGATAATGTAATTAATTCTCAGTCAAGCTYTCTTGCTCTAACTAGAAAACATAGGGAGTACTCAGTAAATCTTAAAAACAGGCAGATATTGAAGGTCCAGGGAAGATCACATGGTCTGATGTTTAATGAATGTAACTGCTATGAGACTTGGCTGTGGTGCTCCGTGGTCTGAGACGTGTTTGTGTAATCACACACAGATGTACTGAATTGCATTAGATAGGGAAGTAGTTTTTACATCCTTCAGTCTGGAAAAACTTCTGTTTCCAGAACAAATCATGTAAATTCCATGTGCTCAATTCAGTGAACTGATTCAAGTAATAAGTGTGCTTAACATGTGCAGACATTGATATATTTATATTTAATTCTCAGCATTCATGCAGTTTGAACTGAGTGGCTGCAAGATTAGTCATACAAACCCAGAAAAGTTAAACATCTAATTCCTCTTTGGTCTGGGCCTGGAAAGTACCTCTGATGTTTCTAATTAAAAATAAAAAATCAGGGAATTTACATTTAAGATGTCTCTTCACTCTGTCACTTCTCAATRCAGGGCACTGTGGTGTAGATAGCAGGGGATAATTTCGTTTTGGGTTGGAAATGTGCTGAAATTTTCAGTGTGATGGATGCTTTGAAAGAAACATTAGATGAGATCATTACTAATTACTGTGGAAAAAAACTGGTATCCTTCTGTACTCTCTAAGATACGAATAATTAGAGACCTTGAACAGTATTTTTCACTTTTTATTTATCAGCTTTTAAGTATGCTCCAGTTTCTTAAAGTCCCACCATTGGTAGTAGATTGCTAAAGCAAGTGTTGCATTACAAAGAACAKTTCCAACATTTCACACAGAATAAAGCACTCTCTGATTTTCACTCTTTTGTTACATACGTACTATCCAAAGCCCAGTGCTCACATGTTGGGGATCTGTTCAGAACAAGATGCAGAGCAATCTGAGCAAGTAACAATATTACCGACAGTCATAAGACATGCTGTTTTCCAGAGAAACTTCAGACACATCCGAAATCTCACAGAAAGAAAGCAGCCCTATCCACAAAGCCATGTCATCTTTGTTCCACAGCAGTGCTTCTGCTCTGATTCAGTTTCCTCAGGGCTCCTGCTATGATGCAGCAGCACTGTATGATGTTCTGTGAGCAAAAATGCCTCTAAAATCTCTGAAGTTTTCAAGTGAAAAAAGCAGCTTTTTCCATGAAGAGTCTCTCTCTCTCCCTGATTCAGCCTCCTGTTGCTGACCTGACCTGAACATGCCCTAATCCTTCTGCAGAGTAGCAGATTGCTGATAAGCTAATGTGACCATAGTGCTCCTGGAAGCCAAACTTTGGCTCTTTGTGGATTTCTGCCCATGTCCAGCCCCTAAAAGCACAACTGTAATGCCAGGATTGAAGGAAAATGGGTGCCCATAGGGCCTGAGCATATTGATGGTTAGGGATGTATCCCCAAAAGCRGAGAGATGGCTCTCAAGCCTCTGTGGCAAGATCTAGCTCAGATCAGGCTGTTTACACAATGCCTGTGCCAGAAGTGAGAGCACTGTCTGCCCAAGTGACCAGGACATCAGCACTTTGTGAAAGAAGTTTTGGGTTTGTCCTGGTGCTTKCAACATCCATGTTGCTCTGAGATGACTGGACTAGGGTTGGCAGGATGCTTCAGTGTTGCTCTGTTTTGACTCTTCATCAAGCACAGGGCCCTGGTCTGCCATGAAATGTCTGAAATCGCCCTTCTCCTGAGGATGCAGGGAAACATGGGAACCTTTACCTCTGGCAAGTGGAGTGGGTGCATTGCTCCAGCACCTGCCTCTTTGGCTATAGCTGCAAGGTCCAATGAATATGAAATCCTGCTCCAAGAGAGATCCTCAGTCAACAGACAGCATCTAAAATCCATAATTTATCCTGTCTGTGCCCTTGAACTGGATGATATCTGTACACCAATAAATTGAGAGCCATACTACTTCACAGGATTAAAAAGATGAATTGCTCAGAAAAAGTCAGATGGATATCTCTGTGCAGTGTATAACTTTGCACACCAGCTTGGTCTGTTTAAATGCTAGATCTTACATGGAGCTCCTGGAGCAAGTCCAGTGGGGAACAACAAAGGGGCTCAAACATCTCTCTTACGAGGAATTTATGAGGGATCTGGGCCTGTTCAGCCTCAAGAATTGACAGCTGAGAGAGGACCTCTTCAATATCTATAAATATCTGAAGGGAGTGTGCCAAGAGTGGTAAGCCAGCTTTTCTTGGTGGTGCCAAGCAATAGGACATGAATCAATGGACAGAAACTGATGCTTGGGAAGTTCCACCTGAACATGAGGAAGAAATTTGTTGTGCAGATGACTGAGCACTGGAACACACACCTGGAGAGGTTCTGGACYCTCCTTCACTGGACATCTTGTGCCTGGGCCCAATTCTGTGCCATGTGGTCTAGGATGACCCTCCTTGAGCAGAGAGGTTGGAGCAGATAACCTTGTGGTCCTTTCCAATCTTACCCACTCTGTGATTCTATGAACTTTGAAGGGCTGCTGGAGCTATCATCTGAAAAAAGCAAATRATGGCAAATGAAAAACTCAGTCCTACATGAGAATTACATTTCTTTCAAGAGACTAGTATTTCTTACTAATGTCTAAGTGTTGGTATTTTTACTGAGATCATAATTGACCCCTTGCCTTTCTTTTAGACCTTCAGCAGCACAAATCACTAAAAGTTTTCCAAGAGGTGCCACGTCCACAAAGGGACAGGTTACACACACAGAAACCCTAAGAAGAAATACTGTGAGACTGAAAATTTAACTGACCAGAACTGAAGAAAAATCCCCATCCTTCCAAAATACAGGATAGGGCCTGTAATATTAGCTGAACAATAAAGAATTCGGATGTATTTAGTTGAAGAAAGCTCTTGCTGGAAGGTAAGATTGGGTCATTTATRTCTGCACAATAGCAGCCCCAGTGTAGAACATATGAATACCAGATGGCTGGAACTG